CACACCGAATTGAAGACGCACCCTCTCGGCTGAATGGTAGATTGTAGGGCAAGTCCTTAGCTGGTGCAAATGGTTAACAGAGCTAGAATTTACACCAGCCTTGGACTGCCCCAAAGGCGGCATGTGAAATAACATTAGGCTAACCTGCTTGAACATGTGAATTTACTTTCAAGCACAGACAGTATGGGGGGGAGGCGCATGTTGTGTCAACCCCCCCTTCTCAGAGGCAGTGAGCCTCCGAGCCCGGGTCAACACACTCAGGCTCATGCTGAGGCACTAAAAATAGATGTTGCAGCTCGGACTGGAGCTCAGGGGTCTCTGAAGCCTGGGGAGGGAAGTGGCCTTCAGAGCCCAAAGCACAACCTCAAAGTGCTGTCTACGCAGATAGTTTTAGTGCAGTAGCGCCAGCCCTGTGAGCCTGAGTCTGCTGACCCAGTTGGGAGTCCCACTGCTGCGGGCTGTGTAAACATACCCTCTGTGCTCTAGTTCCCCATCTGTAAAGTAAGAACAACACTTTCCTACCTCACAGGGGTGTTGTGAGGGTGAATATATGAAAGACGGCAAGGTGCTCAGATGCTACAATAACGGGGAGCCATACAAATATCTTGAATAGACAGAGGTTTGCCCGAGCTGAGGCCAATAGTGACTGTATTTACTGAAAAGCTATTTACAGCTAGAAAAGAAAATTTTCAGCTATAGAAAACCGTAGCCCTGATCAAAGGGGTACAAATGAATTAAGCTTCTTTTTAAAAAGAAAACTTTCCCATTCATACTGATTTTTAATGTATCGGTTTTTAAATCATTTCCATGAAAACAGTTTGTGTTTGCATTCAATCGGTTCCCCGCAGCACTGGCAACCCAAGCCCCACAACAAAAGGAAACTGCTAGGAAACCGACGGCCGGGGCTGGGGTGTGTGAAATTGCCTAGCAGCTTTCCCCCTATTGTCTCGGTTGAGAGAAATGAAACAAGTAAATTCCAATATTTTAAAGTAGTGGACAGTGAATTTGATTTAAAAAAAAAAAATCACTCCCTTTAATAATCGACGTCCTGATTCAAGAAAGCATTTCTATCCAGGACAGCACATAAGCATGTGCTTAAATGCTATCCTGAATTTACATCCTAAAGTATTATTAGCAGCACAGGTGCAATTAATTTTTTTTTAACCCTTTAAAGAAATGAGCATTGGATCTTAGGCCTGGTCTACACTTGGGGGGAAGGGGGGAAGGGGAGAATCGATCTAAGATACGCAACTTCAGCTACGAGAATAGCGTAGCTGAAGTTGACGTATCTTAGATCGAATTAAAATTACTTACTTCGCGTCCTCTCAGCGCGCCGCGGCTCCCCCGTCGACTTTGCTTCCGCCTCTCGCCGAGCTGGAGTTCAGCAGCCGACGGGAGAGTGATCAGGGATCGATTTATCGCGTCTACACTACACGCGATAAATCGATACCCGATAGATCGATCGCTACCCGCCGATCCGGCGGGTAGTGTAGACGTACCCTAGACGCATGAGATATTTTGGCTAGAAATTCTCATGGTTAGTGCACCTCTCAAATGTATTTCCTTTCAGGAGGCATCACTTATGTTAGGCCCCAACTTACTTCTGTTTCACACAATTTTGGTGTCCTCTTGCTTAAATTACTGAAAATGATTTGTATCAGAAATAAAGACCTGTGAAGCTGAGCCTGCAGAAAGAGTTGGCTACACTAAAGGGAGGAATCCCCCAGACTTGTTAAACGTCCCACATGGCAATTTTTTTATATCCTTCATTTTTGTCTTTGGGTATGTCTACACTTACCCGGTAGTTCGGCGGCGAGCGATCCAACTTCTGGGTTCGACTTATCGCGTCTTGTCTGGACGCGATAAGTCGAACCAGGAAGTGCTCGCCGTCGACTGCGGTACTCCAGCTAGACGAGAGGAGTACCGCGGAGTCGACGGGGGAGCCTGCCTGCTGCGTGTGGACCGAGGTAAGTTCGAACTAAGGTACTTCCAACTTCAGCTACGTTATTCACGTAGCTGAAGTTGCGTACCTTAGTTCGAATTAGGGGGTTAGTGTAGACCTGGCCTTTGACACACATTACATCCCGCATTTGGGCTTTGGAAGATGCAGCGATATAGCGTCTAAAGAACGCTTCATTTCTAACCTCCGATTATGGAAAGGAAATCAACACACAGGTGATAAGATAAATACTTCAACTCCTCAGCTGTCTGTGTGCCATTCACACGCTAGTCTTTGATCTAACGTACAGTAACTAATTCAGTTATGTACTTAAGTCTTCTGGAATACGTGCATTAAGATTAGACTCGCACAATGATAAGATAATAGGTGCCCGATTCTCAGACGTGCTGAGCTCCCATTAACTTCAATGTGGGAGGTCAGCAATTCTGGAAATGAAACCTCTTTGGGAGAGTACCCAACAGTTTCTGGAAGAAGCAGGTGCAATCAAGGAAAGCCTAATATCATTGCCTTAAAGTTGGTTTGAGTGAAACAAAATCTTTTCCAACATGTCTTCCCCTAAGAGAAGAAACTAATGCTTATTGGACCTAATGATTAAATTAAAAAAAAAAGAAAAGTAAACAGCATTACTGTAAAACTGCAGCGTTTTGAATCATTAAAACTCTAGAATATCATAGTTTTGTTATATGGTAATAGCTGAACATATACTGTAGTGTCTGTTAGCATTTACATGATAAAATCAGCTATACTGGGTTTAAAACTCAAACACAGGGGCTTGTTCATACAGGAAAGTTATTCTAGAATAAGGTCAGGTATACATTTAAAGTGAAATAGCTATTCTGGAATAACTCCATGTTTGGACATTTTATTCCAGAATCTGGTGGTTTGAAATCTGAACAGTAATTGTCCCTTTTTGGCTCAGCAAAGCTTTAAAATAGGAAGGCCTGAAAACCCCACAATTGTTTTGTTTTCATAAGCCTTGCCGAGGAGTGGGGCCTTTTATAATTTTGGGAGAATCATGTAAAGAGTTGTTTTAAAAAGTATATAATGAACAAGGTTCACAGAACATAATTTCTAGGTAATAGTTCTTCTTAACCATGCATGTTTTTATAAAATTATAAACGGGGGTGGGGGGAAATAACTGATGGGGTGACAAAAAGTGAAGGAGGAAGACACGGCACAGGCGAAGTGACTTCAGACCTTCATTGTTCTTTTAAAGACTTTTGAGGTAGAAGAATTGTTCTCTGGAAATCACAGGACACTGGCAGGGTGTCAAGTAGACATCATCAATATGTACTCAGAACTATTTTAAATAATATCTACTCTCTCACACACCCTCCTCCCCCACATCCACGCCCTCCCCTTTAGGAATGTGTTAATATTTGCAAAGCATTAGCACTCTGCAGGCGTGCTGTATTTAAGAGCCACAGGATCAATAAAAATATCCGTGCTTGGAAGCAACAGCGTTGTTCCCTAGCTGGATGGTTGGGAATGGTTCTCCATTTACAGACTCAGTAGCAAAAGACAGATAGAAGTAGGGTGACCAGATGTCCCGATTTTATAGGGACAGTCCCGATTTTTGGGTCTTTTTCTTATATAGGCTCCTATTACCCCCCACCCCCTGTCCCGATTTTTCACACTGGCTGTCTGGTCACTCTAGATAGAAGGTAAAGGAAGGGCCCAGTCTGGCATGGTGCGAGGTGCCTTCTATGTGCCCTCGGTTGACAATGAAGACAGCAGGATTTGCGGGCACCCCGCATCTGCCAGGATCCATTAAGTGGCATCCTGTGCTCGGAGCACCTGTAAATTCAACAATTGTTGATCTCCAAAAATGAAACTAAGCTCCCCCCTAGACAAGGGCCAGGAGTAGGTTTCGTTTGAAATGATAAAACCTAAGAGATTGAGAGTCTTCAAACAAAGTTACTTTCCACTGCCCCAGTGGTTTTATAGGAGTCAGCCCTACATGGGGCAGATTAGATAGCCACTCTGTTAACAATAATGGGAGTTGCCCCATTTATTCTGCATACACGATGCTAAAAATTAACCCGTTGGGGCATGATCCCCTACATCATGAACACCTTGTGGTTCTATTAAAGTCAACAGGAGTGTGGAGGCAAAAGTAGGCAGGATTATATCTCGAATGGCTTCTAGATCTATTCTAGATTCTAGGAATGGTTTATAAGCTTCCATGAAGATCTATTAATAATTAATACTGCATTGCAAATGAAATTACCACACACACACACAAAGTAATGATCCTTACATTTTCAGGGATTGCACTAGATTTACCCACACAGCTTCAGCTGAAATCGATAGGCCACCCGGTACGTGGACAATTCCTCCATTGATAGGTAAGCAATGTTTTAAACCCATGGGAGCACGGAGATTCAGAGTCAGAGGAAACTGCCCTGCTTCCCACAGCAGGCTCTTCTGAAAGTTCAGCTAAAGAAGGGCGCCTCCAGCCGGGCGGATGACATGGAGTGCATGTGAAATTTAACGAGCACACTTTAAATTGGCATTTCGCAGCCTCAGGCTGGGTATCTGCCATAATATTGAAGAGCGACATAATTTCCAAGGCCGGCTCGAAGGGCGTTCAATGTCAGGGGAGCATACACCGGTTTCCACTGTTCTTTCCTGCTGATTAAACTAGCATAGGACTTTGAGGGACATTCCAGGCAGGGCTGCCATAGCTGGGCTGTACTTCTGGCCACAGTTTAGCCTCTCTGCTTTACAGGTTAATCCAGAATGTAGCTCTTTCTTTCTGGAAAGTTTACCTGCTTTGAGCACCAGCCCTCCCAAAATCAAACAGGTATTTCTCTCCCTCCTCTCTCCAGTCACCATTCTTACCTTTGCTGCTGTCAACATCCTTCACTTGCCATATCAATTGCAGCAGCAGGGCAGTGCTGGTGATTGCTACAGGGCAGGGAAACTCTCAGCTTAAGAACCGTATTGATTAGCAATAGGCACCCTCAGTCCCTTTCCGATCAGATCCCCTGTTGAAACCCCTCCGAACCGATCATGAGAAGGGGAAGTTGCACTTTACCTTGTGAAGAGCTGCAGCCGCTGCTTTGATCTCCCTCTCTGGCTCGGTGGCAAGCCAGTCCTAGGGGGTGGAGTAAAAATATGTTTCTGTCACATGCTGGATTCCCATCCTCTGCCCTGGGGCTGGGCAGAACCAACCACCTACTCGGTGCACGGCGATCACATGGGCCGATTAGTGCTTCAGAGTCAACGTCCTCCGAGCAAATCAGCTGCAGCCGTCGCTGCAGAGACGCGCTGAGCTGGGGGGACCCTGCCCACAGGACTCCCCCCCCCCCCAAGTCAGTTTCCCAGGAGGAGCCACTCTTCGGAGTTTGCAGTCAAGTGTAAGGGAAATAGACAGGAAATAGGGGGCCAAATGCAACCCTGGTGTAACTCTGTTGAAGCCGGTGGAGTTACACCAGAGAGGAATTTGGCCCAGGCACTTCAAATAACAGACACTTTCCTATTGGCAAACTTGGAATGCCTTTACAAAAAATAAAATTCAAAAACCCCAAGGAAAAAAGGGGAATAGTTGCCAATTTTTAAGGAGCTGAGAAAAGACCCAGGGTTTTCAGTCTTGGAAATCTTGTGACTTGAAAGCAGGTGATTGCATAAGAGAAGAAAAATATAAAGGACCATACAAAACAAAACAAAACAAAACAAAACAAAAAAAACACAACCAGCCAAACAACAACAAAAACCCAAACAAAACCCCAGCATCACTCACACACAGAAAATCCAAGTTCTTTAGGCTTTGGAGGGAAAAAAAATCAGGTTAAAGTGACTGTGTGTAGTGGTATCTGCATCATGCTGGGGCTTATTGCGAGAGAAATAAGCATGGGTTAGTTCTGTCTCCATTTTTTAAAACTAAATTTGTCCCAAGCGTGGGAAACATTGAATAGAGTTGAGCCTGCAGCATGCGATATTTTGCCTACTGGTGCACGATAATTAATGGAGACTTTCAGGTGCTGAAATCAATATGGGATTAGATTGTGGCGATCTGGGGGGTGATCCTATATATTTCCATTGGTTTACTGATTTTATTTTTGCGGCATGAGTTCATCATAAATCATCATTAAAACTGGGGCCATGGCGATGCAGGCAGGTTAACACACTCTGGTTTTTGTTTCTTGAGACTGGGTTGAAATCTAGTGGTGATTGGACCGGGGAGTTGAGTTTGGTGGTCTCAGCTAGGGGTGCCCAGGACACCTCTCTGCAAGACCGCTTCAGCACACAACTGGCAGTGACCATCACAAATCATACTGGTTCTATGGAGCAAGATGGGTGAGGAAGTTTGCACATTGCCTGCTGCCACCAGCCAGTACAGCAAGCCTTTTGTTCTCCCGAGCATAGATTCTTTCCTTCTAGCACAGGGCATAACGCCATTAGATTTAGGAAAATATAAACAACGCCTGTAGATGACAATACACGTGATCAAGAAAAGGGAATTGTGGCTTGGAGCAAATTCCACTCCCAAGAACTCTGAGAGGCAACGTAGTCCGGTGGAGCAAGCACAATTTGGAGTCAGGCAATCCCAAATTCCAGTCTGGTGACTTGTGTGTGGCCACAGGCAAATCTCCCTGCCTTAGTTTCCCCAAAGGGGTGGTCTGGCTGTAGAGGTATGCCTACCCAGAGCTGACAGCAGGATTGGGGGCTAGGTAGACAAGGATTTCCATTTTACAGCGCAGGAACGGAGGCACAGAGAACTCAAGTGACTTGCCCAAGGTCACACGGGAAGTCAGTGGCAGAGCAGGGAGCTCCATCCCAGTGACTTAATCACCAGGTTAAGCCCTCGCCTTGATAGTAAACAAAAAATCTGTGTGCTGAAACGGATGAACAAACCTTTGCTTTCCAGCAGCATGGTGAGGGGAGACAGATATCTTGCCCCTGTTCACACGACTGTTCCTTTCCAAGGATGGGGAAGACTTGGGTCTCATCCAGCGCCCATTGCATTAACAGCAATCTTTCTATTGACTTCACTAGGCTTGGATCATTGGATGTATATATCTTTTGGATTTGGGTGTATTACACTATCAGCTTAACCTGATCTCCTCCCTGCCCGAAGGAACAGTGGCTGGACTGGACTGAACAGAACTCAGAGTGAATTGCCTTGCCTTGCATTTTCTTGCTTGGAAAGGTTCTGTTTAATGGCCCTCTGCAAACAAAATGCCCCAGGGGTGTAATGAATTCAGTGGAATTGTGTACATGGAAGATCTGCAGGGAAGTTTCAAACTAAGCGCTATTAGCTAGGTGAAGTTTGCATCACCTGCCCATTAGTGTCTGAAAGGTGGAGGGTGCGTTACAAGCATTGTGCATGTTAACGCTCCTTTCCTTTCCACATCCAATGAAGTCGGTTTTAGCCCACAAAAGCTTATGCCCAAATAAATTTGTTAGTCTCTAAGGTGCCACAAGTACTCCTGTTCTTTTTGCCCCTTTCCTAGTACCCCTGCACTCCAGGTAGCCACTTGAGGGACTGGGAATCGGCCTGTATGAAAACACCTCCAAACTCCAACAAAGTCCAGATCTGAGCTCAGGCCCGTCTCAGTTGGGGCATGTCACCAGCTCACACTCAGGGGGCTCCAACGGGAGGTGGCCGGGCCGGCACGCAGCCAGATTTGGCTGCCAGTATTGAAGCTGAGTAGTACCTGGTAACACCCCACCATAATCCTGGAAAGCTACACACGGTACAAACAAAGGCACTTAGCCTGTCATTTACCATGCAGGCCTCCCATCAGCTTCTCACAGGGGATATACACAGCTGTTCAGAGAGGGCTAGATTTAGGGTGACCAGATGTCCCGTTTTTATAGGCACAGTCCTGTTTTGGAGGACTTTTTCTTATTTAGGCGCCTATTACCCCCTACCCCCTGTCCTGTTTTTTTCACAGTTGCTATCTGGTCACCCTAGCTAGATGGTGACTGAGTGAGCGGACCTTGCACAGTGGTCACAGTGCTCACCTCCTTGCTCTGAGGGCGCGGGAAAGCAGCTCTATCCCCCTTATACACCAGGCCAGCAAGAAAGGGGGCTGAAGCCAGGGCTCCTCCCGCTCCCTGGCTCAAAGCGGAGAGCAGCCAGACAGCCAGGGGGTAGGGATCCAGCCCATCGGGCTCAGCTCTGCCTTTCTTACAGTGAATGGTTCCTTACTCCACTGGCAACACTACAGAAACCAGGGCGAGGGAAGGGACCACTTAGCGGGGGAGCTGAATCAGGCCCTCCATGTGTTGAATAGAGAGCGACGTGCGGGTCCCCTTCAGCTCCTGCTCTGGTTAACGATTCACTTTTTGAGGCCACCATTGGCCACTGGTTAAAGGCTTGTGCTCAGTTCTCAAGGCTCTTATCTAGGAGGCTGCCACTGCGGTTCCTTGTGTGATTAAACTAGATCAGGGCCCAGGGGCTGTCTGCGCTGGTGACGGTGGCTAGTCTAGGAGATCCACACTTTTGGGGTCTGGCGGTGGGCAGTGCCTTTAGGTGCCACCTGAGTGATCTCGCTGCCTTGGACGCTGGGGCAGGGGTCGGACGAGGGAGAGCTGCTTGCCACCCACAGGGTGAGCACGAGGCAAGGAAGGGCCCTTTTCCATTTCATTCTGTGGAACACTGAGTTGGCCCCTCTCCATCCCGAAGAGCAATAGGTGTGTAGCTACTCGGAGAGGTAGAGGAAGGATGGCTCAGTGCTTAGGGTGCTTGGCAGGTACTCAGAAGACCTGCGTGTAATCCCCTTCTATGGCCCAGGCATCTAGCTACACCTAGAGCACAGGAGTTTAGTGGGGGTGTTCTGAGTATAACTGTATTATAGGTTATGTGATGCTCTGATACTGTGGTGATAGGGCCATGTAAGTACCTTAGGAACATGCAACCTGAGAAATGTCTTAGTTTCCCTGTCCCCCCAGACGCCATAGAGGAGACTGCCCCTGACTGTATCAGAGATCTGCCTTAAAAGAGTGGGTTGATGCTATTTGTTCAGTATAGGTTCTTATGCTAGGCTCCTCTCTGTAGTATCCGAGCATCTTCCAGTCGTGCTTAAGCAATATCTCTAACATCTGCCACGTGTTTGTTCTCTCATCCTCTCCCCGGCAGGAGAATTAAGCCGTTCTATAAGCAGCAGAATATGTAGTAGCGCCTAGGAGCCCGAGTCATGGACCAGGCCTGCATTGTGCTAGGCGCTGTACAAACCCAGAACAAGAGGACGGTCCCTGCCCCAAAGCAGAAGAGATAACAGATGGAGACAGGCAGAGGAGAACAATGAGACAGTATCGCTGGTTGGCAGGGGTCACACCGCACCAGCCGCCTAACCCCTGTCAAAGGATTTATAGGCACTACCAGAAAGGGGAGTTTTGAGGGAAGGAGCTTTGTTGCAGCTGTTTATGGGGGTCTCAAGCCCACATATGAGGCAGCATGGGAGAGAGGATGAAGGTACCTGTTTGAAGATTTAACAAGTGGGGGATGGAGGCTGGCACCACGGACCCATCGGAGGAGGAGTCAGCCCCTTGCTACTGAATGACAGAGAAGGAGTAGGGTGGGGCGAAGGGCCTTGAAAGTGATGAAAGGCAGCGTATGTTTGATGTGATACAGAGGAGGAGCCAGTGGAGCCAGTGGAGAGATACAAAGATGGTGACATGGTCCAAGCGAAGGTCTGGGAGAATGAACTTCGCAGCCGCAGTCTGAATGGACAGGAGCAGGGCGAGACTGGGCACTTGTCAAGCCCAGAGCAAAGTGGTGTTGCAGTAACCGAGCCAGGAGGTGAGAGCTCGGGCGAGAGAGCGTTGGCTGTGTGGGTGGGTCGGAAAGGCCGTATCTTACAGATCTCACCCAGACAGAACCAGCAAGATTTAGACATAGCCTAGATGCAAGGACCTAGAGAGGTGCAAATTGAAGATTTTCCCAGGTTACTAGCATGAGTGAGGTTAGATCTGGCTTGTGTCCCACAGGCTGGATTCCTCCTTAACTGATATTAGAATTGGAATTAAAAGTTAATCACATCTTAAAAAAGCAGCACTTGGGACTATTTTAGGTCTTCATAAGGGAATTGGCCAAGAAATGTTACTAGTAGCATATGCCAAATTCTCTCTCACTTGC